TGAATTATATTGATTGGTTTTCAGATGTTGAACCAACCTTGCATTCCTGGAATAATTATATAATTATATCTCAATAATGTAGATTTAAAAAAATGTTTCTTTTTATTTTGCTCAAAGTTTATTTCTTTCTTTCATGAGGAAGAGAGAGAGAGAGGGAGGGAGACAGAGACATAGAAAGGGATAGGTACTCCCAACAGAGTCTTCATGCTGTGCCCTGCCTTCAGTCTCAGCTGGCCCTGATCACAACACACTAGCACGTGCATTCCTGGAATGTGCAGGAAGGTCCTGGGACACAAACCCAGGACCTTTCCCAGGTGGGTCCAGTTGTGTGACTATTGCAACCAGCCTCAACAAAGTGGATTTCAAACTTTTTAAGAAAAAAAAAAAAGACACGGGGATCTTTGGAGTTAAAAAGTATATAAAAACATAATTAATCACAATATATACACCTCATTTAACTCCTGTTTTTAAGTACAAAAGAAATATCTTTATGAACAACTGGAAGTTTGAATGGATAAAGAGGATATTTGACAATAGCTAGAAATTACTGTTAATTTTTTAAGGTAATAAAAGAATATTACAGTTTTGTCTGTTTTTAAAAAAGATTTAAGTTTTAGCGATATAGACTAATTTTTTTTTTTTTTTTTTTTTTTTGCGATGGGGCAAGTGTGCTCATAGAAAGAGAGAAAATGAGAAATCACCCCCTGCCACAATCCCTTCTCCTTTATTCTCTTCTCAGGATTTTGGGCATGCACACATGCACCCAGTGTGTTTTTCAACCTATTGGATCCAGGACTTGAACCATGAAGTCGGCCGTGTGGGATCCAGCACCTTAACTATTACACTACCTGCTGGCTCCTATACTAAAGTATTAATGCATGAAATTATTATTATTTTTTAAAAGACTGTAAAATCCTAAGAGGAGAATGGAGGAGAAGGGACTGCAGTATGGCCATCCTCCTCGGGAGGTGATTTCTCACTTTCTCCCTCTGGTGAGTGCATGTGCTCTATAGAAATAAATAAATATATAACAAATAGAGACTGTGAGGGTCCCCATCACTCAGGGCCAGAGCTCAGGCCAGGACGCCTCCCTCCCTGCTCTGCACACAGCACTGCCGTCACACTAGCCACGGGGCTGTCTCAGTGGGGTGAGCCTCTTGCTGTGCGGTCTTTGCACATACTGTTCCTCATGATCCTCTGTGATCTCTTCCCTCTTCGCCTCCTTCGTTCTCAGCCTAGCATGGAGCAGAGGCCCAAAGTCTCAGCAACAAGACGGAGACCGCCAGCCTCCCATTGCCGTTGCTCTCGGCCCAGACGTCTCTCACCCACTCTGCAGGAGCCACCTGCCTACCTTCCTGCCTGCACTCACTGCCCCTCTAATCCACACGCAGCCAGGGTGGTCTGCCAGGGACCGGGTATGCTCTTACTGAGTCCCTCAGGAACCTGTAGACTAGACCCGGACTTGGGCAGAGCCGTGCAGGAGGCCTCCTCCAGGCCTCTTCTGCCTTCTCTGCTACCCAGAGCTCGGTACTGCTAGCCTTGGAGGGGCCTGGGTGTGTGAAGACGTCTAGGCCCTTTCCCTGCAACCAGCTCATGACTGGCACCAGATCTACCAGCCACTGCCCAGGTCTCGGCACTGGGCCCAGGAATAGTGTCCTCCAGGCTGGACTCCAGATTGCCAGTCCTCTCCCAGAGGAACACAGGGTCCAGTGGTTGGGTTCTTGGAAAAACAGCGTCAGGGAGTTTAATGAGTGACTGCAGGGCTGTTTTCCCTGATGTGCAGAATAGTCTGGGAGGTCAGGCAGCAGCAGGGGGCCGAGCCCTGGACAAGGCCTCAGTGGCAACTGGGGCAGCAGAAATGGGAAACGCCCCTCTTGGAGCTGACCCTGAGTGCAGCTGACTGGGGAGGTGCCTGCTCTACAGGGTGACAGTCCCTGTGTGTGGGGAATAGTGGTGGGGAGGTGCCTGCTCTACGGAGCGACAGTTCCTGTGTGTGGGGAATGGTGGGGGGGAGGTGCTTGCTCTACCAGGCGACAGTCCCTGTGTTTGGAAAACGGTGGGGGGGAGGTGCCTGCTCTACTGGGTGACAGTCCTGTGTGGGGGGAATGGTGGGAGGAGGAGGAGTGGGGTGCTGGGTCAGGGGCTGGTCTGTGACAGGCTTGTTGCATGGCCTGGGGCAAGCCACCCTTTCACCAGCCTCAGTGGGAAGGGAGGAGAACATGGGGAGGAATCGGCCTGACGATTCCTTTCAGCTCTCCAGGCAGTGTGTTTCTGTGGTCCCTCCTCTTCATCCTGCTCCCGGCGCTCTCTCATTCCCATGCTTCCCCACTGGAGAGATGGCAGGGGAGTGTGCTGGTTAGAGCCCTGGCTTCTGGGATCACATGAGCCTGAGTTTCTGCTTTCTTTTCCATTCTAGGCCATATGAGCTTAGATGAGCAGCTCACTTCTGGGCCCCCATCTCCTCGTCTGTGAAATGGGGACACCATTTCTTGCCCCTGAAACTCTTGGGGAATTAAACTCAGGTTCTTGAGACACTGGACAGAGACTCAATGAATGATCGTTTTTCAGACATGAAGAGCCTGGGTGGAAGTAGGGAGCAGCAGGGAGCAAAGAGCAGGGGCACGGGGAGAGTCTGTGCCTCCCCTCCGCAGGGCTCCATCTCTGTCTCACCCCGGCTCCAAGGCTGATCCGGTCTCTTCTCTAGGGCTGTGAAGTCTCTACCTCCATAAAAATGAACAGCCTAGCCAAGAGCAAGGCTCCGATTCTGAACCCTGGTGCCCAGGAGTGGACAGAGGGGCTCTCAGTCCAAGGAAGGTCCTCACAGTGGGGCCCTGGGTGGGCTGGGGAGCCCCTCCCCGCTTCTTCCCACTGGTTAGTGACTTCGGTAGTTTAAACCAGGGCCTGTAAACTATGGTCCAGTCCTGTTTTTGTGAAATCTGTGTGCAAACTAAGAAGGGCTTTTGTATTGGTTGATGACTGAACAAAAATCAAAAGAAGAATATTTCATGGCACGTGAAGGTAGTAACTCGAAATGCGCGTGTCCACGAGGGAAGTTGCGCGGGGGTCCAACACACCTGTCTGTTCACCTGTGGTCTGAGGCTGCTTCTGCAGCGGCCGAGGTCAATGGTTGCGACAGAGACTGCATGTCCTGCGAAGCTGAAAATATTTACTCTCTGGCTCTTACTGACAAACGTTTGCAGCCTGCTGGTTTAGAGGAAACACGCTTTGCAGATGTAAGTGCCCTGGAGAAGATTCCATCGGGGACATTAGGGGATACTTAGGAGACCAGTCACCTAGCAGAAATGTGACCCTGCGATGTCCCCTTCCTGGCGTCTCCCTTGCTCCACCTGTAAGATGGACATGGTGATTTCTTCTGTTTACCCCGCAATGCTGCAAGTCTCGGCAGACGGTCTGTTAGTCATTCACTTCTAGTGGGAAATAACTCAGGGTTTTTGTCCCGCAGATGAGAGCCAGTGTTTAGGGGAGGTGACAGCGTCACACTGAGCAGGGGAGACAGAGAAAAGGACCCTCTTCTCCAAAACCAGTGCAAGAGACCGTCTCTCCCTCCTAGAGGCTGTGCCTGGGGTGGCTAGCAACAGGGAATCCCTGGGTGAGGGCTCCACTCAGGCAGGAGGGCGGGGACAGGATGGGCAGAAGCAGCTCTGGCTTGTGCCAGCCTCCATGTTTAATCTCTGCAAAGCCGGAGTCCCCACAGTGGCCCAGGCCCCACAGGACCCACCCACACCCCTTTCCTTTCTGAGGCAGGCCCTCTCTTCCTGCCCTTTCCCTGCTCCTGGCTTAGCGCCCCAACCCTTGCTGGACCTCCTGCCTCAGGGTCCTGGCATTGCTGTTCCCTCTGCTGAGAACACCCTCCCAGGGATGTCCCCATGTCTTTCTCCCACACCTGAAGGCGAGGTTTCAAACACCACCTGCTCAGTGAGGCCCACCCTGGCTGCCTATTAAAAATTGGTGGCATAGTGATTAAGGCCCTGGACTCCCATGTAGCTGACCATGGTTCGAGTCCCAGACCCGGTTGCTTGAAAATCACACCAGGTGCATGTGTGACCATGCCCCAAATCCCAGGAGAATGGAGGATTGTGGTGTGGCCTTCCCCTGGGGGCATGATTTCTCACTTTCCCTCTTTGTCTCTCTCTGGCAAGTGCAAGTGCATGCACCCTATGACAAAAACCTAAAAGACAAACAAACAAACAACAAAACCCCCTGTCCCCTGGCTCGTGACCCAGCTTCCCAACTTCGGTTTTCCCTAGGACCCTGTTTCCTGCCAGGTCTCCTCCATCCTTTGTTTTCTTGTTGCTGCGTGTCCTCGGCCACTAGGACATGAGTTTGTGAGGACAGGGGTTTATGGTCACCGCCTGGCTTATAGAGGGGACTCAATGAATACTTGATGAGTGAGTAAATGAGTATATTTAATTAATTAATTTAAAATAATTTTAAGTTACGTTAAAAATAAATATGTTAGCTCTAGGGAAAAAAAAAAACGCTGCATGATCTCACATATTTGAACATTTTAAAAAGTCAAATATGAGCCGGTCCTGTGTCCTGGTGGTTAAAGGAGGGCGGCCATGGTTCAAATCCTGGTCCCGGTGGCTCGAGGAACACATTGGGTATGTGTGCATGCCTGCCCCTGATCATGTCGCATGCCTGAACTATCTGTGATAAAAAAAATAAAGCAGAATTCTCCTTCAGAGAGAAGGTTGGAATTAGTTTTGCTACCTTGTCCGGCTGTCCGAGTGGCCTTGGAGGGGCACAACCCTGTGGGGGAGGGAAGCCCAGTTTCAACAATTTGGTTTAGGGAGGCGGAGAGTCCAGGGGGAGTGGGCAGCCACCCTAAAGACGGCTGTTGGGCTCTGACTCCAGTGCTCCCAGCCAGAAATGAGGGTGGTGGTCTCTCTCCAGCCAAGCCCCTCCTTAGCAAAGGAAAATAACTGGATGAAGAAGCCAGGCGAGTTATGACAGTTGTTTATATTTTTTATATACACACGGGTTCAGGGAGACAATGCCTGGCCTGGACTGGGGACAGCTGAGCCGCCAGTGTCCTGGGGTTCCACGTCTTGCCCAGCTCCCCTGAGGCTCAGGGCAGGCGGCCATCGGACATCGAAGCTTTTCTCTCTGCCCTCTGGCCTGGCCTCCTCTGGGCAGCCCCCCTGACACCTGCCTGGGAGGTTCAGATCCTTGCTGTCCTGGGGTCAAGGCTGCACCAGGGTCCTGTTTACAGAAGGACTCGTTGACGCACGGGGGCGGGAGAAGATGACGTTCAGATAGCTCCGGGAGGTGGCTCGGGCTAGGGCCACCCTGTGCCTCCGGCAGCCTGAACCAGGGGGTGGGGGTTGGGTCAGCTCCTGCCTGCCCCCTATACCCGGGTTGTACTGGCTCAAGGGCTGCAGCCGGCGACCCTCCCTCAATAGGGGTAGGGGGACACGGCGATGAGCAGGACGAAGACGCTTTGGTGGCGCGGCGCGGCGGCGCGCACAGTGAGCCTGTAGAGGCCGGCGCGGGGGAGCGCGCGGCGGGTGTAGATGGCACCGTAGCCAGCGCTCAGGGGGCGCAGCGCGAAGGGGCTGCGCGGGTCGGGCTCAAGCACGCTAAGCTCCGTCCGGTTGGCGGCGACGCCGGCCTCGGAGAAAGCGGCGAGGCGCGCCACGGCGTGGTGGGGGCGCCCACCCCGGGGGCCGGTACTGGAGCGTGGAGGGGCCGCCTTCGCTGCAGTCCTGTGAGCAGCGCCGGAAGCACGTCCTGCGGGCGCACAGACAGAAGGCCTGCGGTTGCCATGCCAGTTTTCCAGGCGTGCTCCCGTCCTCCCTCGCCAGCTCCAAGTGCCTTCCCACAAGCACCACTGTTAGCCCGCTTCAGGGACCAGCAAAGTGAGTCGCCAAGCGGCCAGTAGCGTGCTTTCCTCCAGAGCCAGTTCCCACTCCAGGGCAGACTCGGGACAGCCCCAGGGCAGCCCCGTGGGCTTAGCGTAGTGATAAACTTAGAGCCCCTGCCCTGGAGGTGCCTGGGGCTAGCTCCCCTGCTCTGGCTCTGCAGCTGGGGTTGGGGTGAGGCTGGAAGACTCGACCTTAGCTTTGCCCAGGGCACCCCTTTCTGCTCCCAGCCTGGGCTACCTGATGGAAGGTCCAGGGCTAGTCACCCGCTTCTCTCACCGGGAAACTCCCAGCCTGATCCCCCAGGTTCCTGTTAGGGTGTCTGCTACCACTGTGAGTGGCACAGTGGAAATGGGTCTGGGGGTTTTGTGTGTGTGGGGGGGGAGGGGGTGGCATCTATGTGTGCATTCCAGTCTGCAGATTTGTGTGGATATTCCTGGGTGCCCCACCGTCTCCCAGCTCCGCCTCTCCCTGACCCCAGCCATCCAGGCCTGTTGGCCATGCAGGGAACGACCATGCCAAGGTGAGCTGGCACCCTGGGTGGCTGTGAGATGTATTCTTCATGAGAGCACACTGCCCCAGCCAGGAGTTCTGGCAGGGCTGCCTCCCCTAGCCCTGGGAGGCTTCCTGGAGGGGGTGGCTTTGGCCATCCAGTAGCAAAGTGGAAGTCCCCATCTTGGCAGACAGTGAGGGCCCCTCCCTTACCCAGGGCCAGAGCCCTGCCGATAGGTGGCCGGGCAGGGCGTGTCCACACACTGGTAGCTGCCGCGGGTGTTGAAGCACATCCGGCCCGGCCCACACTGGATGCCCTCCTCCTCACACTCGTCGATGTCTGGGTAGGGGCCAGCATCGAGGCGAGGAGAAGCCAGAAAGACCGGAGCCGGAGCCAGGACACAGCGGGAGGGGTGGAGAGTGAGTGAGTGAGTGAGTGAGTGAGAAATGCCTTGGACCAGTGAGGTGGGCGGCCCCTCTCCCAGGTCCACAGCAGCCCAGCTGGGAGACCCCCAGCATTCCCACCTCCCCAGGTGCTGGAACTTGCCAGGGTACTGCGGGGACTTCCTGAGCCTCACGCTAGGTTGGTAAGCCCAGGAGAGAGGGGGCTGTGGGGGGCCTACTTTGCCCTCCCGTCCGGAGTGCCGCTTGCCATGGGCAGAGCCCTGATCCTTGTCTCTGTCAGTGGAAGCCCCACACTTCTCAGAGGACATGTGCTGACCCCATGGCCCAGAGTGGGCGATGGAGACAGGCAAGACCAGCTGGTGCTCAGCCTATGGGGCAGGGCAAGTGGCTGACCACCCCGCCCTGTGTATCAGGGAAGGCGTGCCCATCTTAGGGACGGTGTGCTCACGCTCTGTGGGCCTGTCCAGCCATTCTAGGGGCAACTGAGCCCTGGAAAGCTGAGGCTCAGAGAGGTGGAGTGAGTTGTCCAGGGACACACAGCGAGCTGGCTCAGCCCTGCAGGGCTGAGTTCAGAGCTTGCTGGTGTGATTGCTCGAGGCTCTTTGTGGTGTGGGCCCTGGCCTGGCTACAGAGCCCGGGTGCTCACATAACCCCTGTGAGGTCATCTGCCCATCTCACAGGCTGGCCGTGAGGGGCTCAGGGCACAGGGGGGCTCTGTCCTGGCTCCTGGCACCTGGGAGGGCAGCCCGCCTGGGCCCGGCTCACCCTGGCAGTTCTTCCCGCTGGGGAGCAGGCGGTAGCCGGCGGGGCACAGGCACTGGTAGCTGCCCTCGGTGTTGCGGCAGGCGTGCGGGCACAGGCTCCTCGCCCGGCACTCGTCCAGGTCTGGCCGGGCATGGGCGGCAACGGGGCAGAGACATGCTGAGTCACCGGTGCCCGGC